TAATTTGGAAGATTATGATTTAATTACAAAAAAAAGAAATTATAGCTTTTCAAAAAATTAATATTATATAAAGCGGACCTTCGCCGGCCGCGACGTTCGCATAGAGATCAACGACGTTGGGACAGCTATCGTAACACTTTGGCGAGCAAAGCCGCTGCTTGAACCGGCGGTCGACCAAATAATCCGACGAGATTCCGACGGTGACCCGCTCTAGACCGCACGCTTCCACACACTCATCCGTCTCGATCCAGCCCTCCACGCCGGTCCCCGCCACGCCTGAATTACGGCAGGAATACTCATTGAACCCGCTTCGCACGTGCTTCTCAAGCACGCAACGGAAACCGGATGAGGAAACCGCGAACGCACACGTGCTGCGATCCAGCTGCTCACACGTGAACTCTCCTGTTAATCAATGGAAGACAATTGGGCTGTGAAGTTCGCTTCAAAATTGGTTCAAATTTTAGCTCAGTTCTAAATAGACAAATCAAATTTTAGCTCAATTCTAAATAGACAAGTCAAGTTAAGGGTTAAAATTTTAGATTGAAATTTTTTTCAAGACGAGTTGAACTCTACTCAAAATCAGATTTTTAAAGATCCTAGTGATGTTAAAGCTATAAATTTAACAAATTTAGCTCAAAAACTATTTAATCACTTGAAAATTGAATCAAATTTTGGCTCGGACCGAGAACGGGTCTAAATAAACTAGCCGAGCTATGAGCGGAAGCTTTATATTGAACTTTCTTATAGCCGATTTGGAGCCAACTCGAGTTGGCTCGAAATCACACCGCGAACAGCCCAAGAAGCTGCATAAGAAGCAGAAGCACTAATCAATATTTCTAATACTATAACTGTCAATTAATGCATTAATACCATGCACGCTGGAGAAGAAGAGAACGGAGACGAGGAGGGAGAAGAAGGCTTTGGACATTGTGGAGGCCATTGTCGTCGTGCCTGAGAGCTTGGGATTGAGAAATGAGAAGAAAGTATGGAACAAGAGCACTGCTGGTTTTCCGAAGCTGTGAATGGGGATTGGGAGTTATTTATAAGGAAGATGGAGAGATTTGTTTATTTGTATTAGGGTTCCGGGTAACTAAACAAGTGATAAATTCCAACATGGCAAGACAAAGTTTGGCAGCACTTGAAGGCATCTATGTTTGTAGACTTGTTCAAACTAATTGTGTTGGACTTATTCTTTTCAGCAATGAATGTCACGAGAAAATAGTACGTCATCATGTGTGGATGATGGTGTAGATTAAATTAAAGTTATTGAACGCACGATATGATGAGATTCACACCG